TATAGATTGTAGATTCCCTCCACCGACTTAGTATATTATTGTTTCCTCCCTCAACCTTACGGCCCCCTCAGCCCTTTGCCCACTCAGCCTTATATATTACATTAAAAATTCAACAGGCCATTAATAATATACAAGGTCGAGAATCTAAATATCGGAGTGCCTGACCGCGAGAAACCTTATTAGACGGACAGAGATGAATCTGAAGATGGGAGAGCTCACGGAAATCTCTTACTGACCGGCTGCACCTTTTATTCAGGTTATCTGCCTCCTTTACCCAAAGAAATACATGTAGAAAAGACTCTAATTACAAAAAGCATCAACAACAACACAATAAACATCCAAATATTCAGAACAAAAACAACAATAATAACGTGAAATAGCTCCTTCAAAGCTGACAGTCACATTTTACTTTATTTTCTTTAATACTCTTTTTTAAAAAAAACAGAAAATGTGACATGATTATTTATTGTCTTTACAATCAGACATAATGAACATATCTCCTCAACATTTAATTGTTCTTTTAAATGTAAATATTGATTCTCAGATTGTTCCAGAAACTGATTCCTTTCACAGAAACACAACGCTCCGTCACTTTTGGTCTGAATCTGGGTTTTTTTTTAAAAAACATCTCTTTTAAATTATATTTTCTCTTTTTCAAATCTTGTCTGAATGTTTAGTGGTTTTCTTGTGTGCTTTGAACGTTGTTTGTAAAACACTCTAATAAGTCATGAAATGTCAACAATTTTAACTTAAAAGCAGTGGATTTTTTGCCTCTTTGTGTCGTTTTCTACTTATTGTTCTTACGGCTGTTTTCGCAAAAATGAATTTATGAAAATAACATCCAGCATACTCAAGATAATCATCAGTTTTATTCTTGTTTTCCCCTTTTTTCCCCCATAATAACACACCAGAACTAACACCTGCATAGACTAAACTCACATATATTTAACATTTTGGTGAATATTGATATTAAGGGATAAAAGGAAATAACTACAAGTATCATTAGTTTTGGGCTTTTTACGGCTAAATTTCCTGATATGAGGAAAAAAGAAAGACTTAGTGGGAAAGCCAGAGTCAGAATCAGGTTAAAATAAGGTAGGCCAGTTTTCTTTTCAATCCAATCATTGCACCGATGTAGCGATGTGTACGCAGCATCTGAATCCAGAAAGCTCCCCTGTTCTGCCACGTAAATCTAATCCTGTGTGTGAGGACTGAATAGACAATTAGATAATTACTCTTTATTGCTTTTGTGGTGGGGGGATTACGCTGCCGCTGCCTACAGGCAAATTAGATGCTTCCATATTATGCACATTCCACTTTCATAAAAATGAATCCTCCTGGTCTCCATCCGCGCTACAATTAAATATTTGTACTGTGTCTGTTTGCATGTGTTGGAGCGGTCCGGATGAAAAGGTACCGTTGGTGGATAAACCCAATAGGAACCAGTAAAGCACAAAGATGAGGATTAATACATCTATTCACAGATTAGCGTGTTGTAATATTTGTTTATATGTTAACTGGGAAATCAGTTTTGTGACAATCTTATAATAGAGTTTAGAGTCCTAACACTGAAAAGAACTACAGGCTTTTTAATCTGTCAGACGACAATAACGAGCATTCAAAGCAACTGCCAGGCTTTATGATGGCTGATATAAAGACGATGCAGAGCAGAACTTTTAACTTTATGGTAGCTGCTTTACAGGACAATAAGACCAAACTTTTTGCTTCATAGTTGTGTGACAGCGAGTGTTGATTCACAGTGTGTTTACAAAGTAGATGTGAAGATGAGGGCTGCTCAGTTGTGAATCATAATTATGCCCAAATCGTCTGAGTGATAATTAAATGAGACAACTGTAAATTATACAAAACCTGCTATAGAGTGTTTTTCTTCCTGAATCAGAAAAAAAAAAACCCTGAAAATAGAAGGAACTGTTCCAACTGGCTGTATTAATGTAGTGCTATCGCTGCTGTCATTCGTCCATCAGAGCTGGAGTGCAGCACCATGACATCATTTCCAAATGTTTTCAGTGTCTGTAATGTTCTCGGTGACAGGTCTGCCAGGGGAACCGGCTCGTTTCCCCCCACATGAGCTGATGCATGTCCCACGCCTGACGATCACGAGGACGTTTTTAAGACGATGTTGAAGATTAGCAATCAATAACAGACATCATTTTTCAACTTACACTTGAAAGGAAAAGCCAGATGGTGAAGCCGTTCAGACAGGCATGGTTTCCCTGCGAGGGTACCGTCTCTTTGTTTGCATGGGGCGACCACAAACACATGCTACTCTTTAAGGGAGCCGTTCTGCACGGGACGTGTTTCTGTCATAACGGACAAAGACGAGATTGGAGATAACCACACAGTAATGTAAAATAACCTGTTTCATCTTTAATGGCTTTTATTTCAGAGGCTTCTTTAAGAGGAAGAAATAACCAAAAGCTGGATGGCGTGCGGTGAACAGGGTGGGCGTGGGTGTCGGTATAGATGTTAACAATTTTCTCAAATCTAAATATGTCCAATTTTTATTATTTTTTTCACATTTCGAGCACCTTCATCCATCTGCAACAGCTTAGTGTCAGCAACCCAACGGCGTTCCTCCCTCCTCTGTGCTCTGACAGCACATCTCCCAGAGTCCCGCCGACTGTGTCTTCTTCTGTCTCGTCCACCAGACCGCCGCTCCAGCTCCACCTGCCTGCTGCTAAAAGACGTCACGCTGGGATAATTGGCCCCCCTGTCCACTTTTCTCTGCCTGAAAGCTCTCCTTCACACACACCGGTGACAGATCTCCATGCCCTACCTCCCTGTTGGGCCTCGCAGACTACCTGCACACTCATTTTCATTCCCTCAGACCATTAGCACTGGGTAATGATGACATCTGTCACTGGGCGCTCGAGGTGTCTTTGGGGTCTCGCGACAGAATCGAGACATCCAAAAAAAAACCATCTCCACATTCCTCCCTTCTGTCATTTGGGAGCGGAAAATGAAATGCTAGATAATCCCCCACCCAGTGACTTTATTTGAGATCTGCAAAAATCGCAACACTAAGACCTACTAATACTGTTGACACTGTTATACAATAGGATTTTAGAGGATCTACAGCAACCTTAGCACGGGCAACGACTTTGGATCATCCGATGACAATTTGTACTCAAGATGGCACAAATTGAGAATCCTGAATTTGTTCATCTGCATGTTCACACAGTTAATTTAGCAGGTCAAGAAACATTGTCAGTGAAGTCCACGCAGCCCGAATCTTGGAGGTAAATACTCTATTTATATGCAAATACACAGATCCTGGGCCAAAATCTGTTGTAATGAAAATGTATTCTTTTGATTGACGCCCGAGGATATAGTGACCCACGACGAAATGAAAATATGCGATAATTTCAACCTACAAGCCGGATAAGGGGAGGAAGAAAAAAAATCAGAGCATGGAAGTAATTTAAAGAACCTTCCGATGTCTGAAGATACGATCAAACGTTTGATTTCAGCAGACATGCGAGCAGTCCTTGTTCCAAGGACACATGGACTTACAGTGACCACAAATATGCTTTAAAGACAAATGGCTGCACAATGGTTGGCCTTTTTTTTTTTATAGTAGTAAATGTGGTTCACTCTGTTATATTATGGAAAAAATAGGCTCGATTTTAGGTTACGTGCAAACAGGAAGAGGATAATGAAACATGACTTTTTCTTGCTCGTTTGATAGAAACTGTGTGGAGCACGTTACCCAGCAAAGACGTCGCTACAAATTGGCCACAATTTTCCCCACATTACGAAGTTAATTTGTGGGAAATGATGCGGAAAATCACGATAACCGTATCTTATTTGATTACCGTTAATTGAGACGTTGCATTAGGAGGGAAAAATCTTACATTTTACTTTAAGGAGTGCAGACATGTGCAGTTAGAGAGTTTGACATCATGCTGGCAAACGTAGGAAAATGTAATTAGATGTGAGTTTTTGCTTCCTGAACACATGAAAAAAAAAAAGAACTGGACCCTTCAGTTCCAGTTTTAGTAATTAGTAATAATTCAGTTCTTTATTTCAAACTGGTGCAGAGTTGTTACTTCAGCTCTCTTTTGACTAGAGTAGAAATTAAAACAATGATTTTTTTTTGTGGCTTTCTGAAAAAGGCCTTACAACTGAACAAAACATATGGTAAGCTGATATGTTGAGGTTTTACTACGAAAACATCTGAACCTGATAATCACTGCGGTTTTGTTGCCAAGCCACAAAAACAACGTTTACTCTGAGCTGTGCAGCTTTGTTACCACGCTGCTCAGACAGAGAGACTCCATATACCGTCAGTCACTCTCCAATAATACAACCCTCACCTTTGCCATTTTACCCACAGGCTGCTGGAAAAGGGACCCGGCTGAGGGAGGCATGAGAACAAAATGCAAGCTACCTGTTGGATGAAAAACAGGATTAATACTTCAGATTTCCTCTTGAGGCTGCTGCCCTAAAGGCTAGAAGCGTGGTTGCTCTACACGTGATAAGGTGTCGGCTCCCGCCCTGCGTCTGCTGTTTGTCACCGACTGCAGCTCCCTGGTGTTCGTGTTACTGCTCTCGGAGGAGCTGGTATGTCAGCACACCATGCAATCCTCCACATTCACTAAACCGTAGCCGTAGGGAGGATGAGGGTTGATTCTTTCATATCCGTAAAGGTCAGAGGGGAGGCCTCGTGTTCCAAATCCTGCTGTGCACAACTGGGGGACATTAAAGCTACATCTCCTGGAATCATGTGACTGAAGGCAGAAAATACATAAAGCCATTTGCGGCTTTTGCTGGTATCCAGGGGGCTGAAGCCCGGCTGCAAATATACATCCTGGGAGGTGGGATTTTTTTTTTTGGATAAATACATCAGATGAATAGTGATGATTTGGTTTCGTAATCTCACTTGGACCAACAGCACAAACCACCGCACTGCATTGTGCTGCTGCCATCTAGTGGTCAGACGTTGTATGTACTTGAAGAAGCACACAATTAAACACATGGTTCTTTCTTTTTTTTTTTTTTTACTTAAAATGTGAACACGTAGTTTCATTTCACAATAACGACAATGTAAAAATCAATTCTTCTCAAAATAAAATGCATCTGTGGCCAGTGTCATTAAAAAAAAAAGAAAGAAAAGAAAAGTTTGGTTCACAAATTGTACATACAGGCCACACAAAGAACATGGGCGAAAATACTTAAATCAACAGGATGAATTGACTCTTTCCATACAAAATTCATCGTTGACGACTCCACTGTACCTCATAACGTGGTCCTGAGGCCACATCGTTTGTCCCTTGTACAAAACTGTGGCTCTACAGAGGAGCGACGTCCATGGCAGAGACACAGAGAAGACAGTCCGAGGGATTTTCTCGTGCCAACGTGGGAAAGCATGTCATTAACAATTCACATATCGAAGCGAGGTGTGTTCAGATGAGATCACTCAAGTTCCTTGAACCGTGCGAACATGGCTTTGCGCACTGCTTGTTTGTAGGTGGTGTTGTCCCAAACGACCGGCTCCTTCTTCTTCCTCTGCTGAAGAAAAAAAAGAAAAGAAATGTTAGGTTTAATGAAGAAACAAGGAACAGGAAGCGATATCTGAATGACACTTTACACTTACCGGAGCAGATTCTGCCCCTAAACCAGGCCTGTCACTGGCTTTGTTCGTCTCCCTGAGCAGAGAGAAGAGAACAAACTGTTAGACCGAATATCTTTTGTCTCCCATTTCAGTCACATTAAACGTTTGCTATTACCTGGAGCTTCCTGCCCAGGTGTTATGGTGCTGCAGCTGCTGGTGGTGTTTTCTTCTTTTCTGTTCAGGTGATCTCGACGTCTCTCTGGCGTTCAGCTGTAAAGGACACATCGTACGTTTAATAATCAACTCACAGCATGACGCTCAGCAAATATTCTCACTCCATCCATGTCCACTTACTTCTTTCTCCTGGTTCTCAAGCGCCTCTAACTCCTTCTTTGACCTCTTGATCTTGAGGTGGATCTCCATATTTTGCTGTGGACACAATAACACAAGTGTTAGAGACTAAATCTGCAGCGTCACCGTCACCTCCTGTTCACAGATAGGTTAAAAGCAGTACTTTGTGCAGGTCAGAAAGCTGCTGGTGGCGGATTAGAGCATCCTTGTTGGGGAACTGTCTCCTACAGAGAAGACAAGCCATCTTCTTCCAGTCTGTCAGTTTGTCGTCCTTGTCATCTGGCTGGCTGCCCTGACTGCTTTTAGCTCCGTCGTCCTTATCTTCTTCCACCTCTTCGTCGCTTCCAGCTGCATAGTCGGACGCCAGCAGACCCAGAGAGCCCATCGGACGCTGAGAAACAAAGCAGACATGAATCTGAGTTGTCCTATAAGAAGACTAGGACAATTAGGACAATGAGGTACAATTAAAAAGGTCAACACAACACACTTGTGCTCTGACTGGAACGGGCTCTTACCTTTGACTTTTCATCTTTCTTTGGAGGAGCGAGCGGCTTCTTAAAAAGATCATCTCCACCAGAGATCTAGGACAAAGAACAGAACCACAATGAATAAACCATTGCAGAACTAAGTTCCTGAATTCATTGGAAAGTTGTGTTAAAGTTGGAGGCGAGTTTCTGACCTTCCTCTCGAAAATAGCAAAACCAGCATCAGCCGACTTCGACTGCCTCCTGTCGTCGTCCATTCCCATCTTCAGCACCGGAGACGGGGCCCGGACACTTTCCTTCTGACGGTTCTGGATCTTTGCCCAGCGCTCCATATCTTTCATGATCTGCAACAACATGTTTCTTACCCATTTGCCCTCCACAGTAGTTTGTACTAAACAGTTTGTGTGGCGATATTGTTACACAGACGCTACCTTGACTGCAGCAAGACTTTTCGGCTTCTCGTCTTTGTTGTCCTTCTCTTTGTCCTTTTTAGCCAAGTCGTCGTCTTCCCTTCTGTCACCAGCCGCTGTGGACGTGGCGAGCTCCGAAGTGGAGCCGCCGGCCGAAACCGGGACCGCTGCCGGAGCTGTAGAAGCTTGGGGTGGCAACGGTTTCTTCATTTCTAGAGGAGCGTCAGCTGCTGGGTTGGAAAGAATAGCCTGGTCTTCAGCAGTCATGGTCACAGGTTGGGTGTCTGCAGAGGTACCTCCTGGAACTGGGACGTAGGTCTTGGACACAGCATCCCAGTACATGTACTCCTGGGTTTGAGCGTTGTAGAAATACTGCACACACAAAGAAATGGTGAGAAGGGAGAAAGACAAGTTAGTGAGAATAAAAAACAATTCAAAGCACATTTATGGTGACTACAGGCTGACTACTTGTATAAACCTAATTCATACGCTTCGCTGTCTGATCATGGACTCATTCAAAGAACCTGTTTATCACTATTGACTGGTGGTTCATTGATTAGGTAAGGTGAGCTGTTTAGGTATACACCCCACTCCTGCACACAGTCTGAAACCAAGACAAGAGACAAAATACCAAAATAAAGTGCGAGATACTGGGTGTATGTTTTGATTGTGTGAAGGAACTGTTAAACACATCCTCTACAAAAACTACCGAAGACAGCACGTGTCATGTCTTAGATGTACAGTTGAGGCCAATTCATGCTTTCTGCAGACGCGTCTTCATCGGTACGTGTGATGTGAATTTTGCAGGACATCTGTCTGCTGTCCAGAGTTTGTGACGGTGCAGACTACACATGTGCTGGGAAATAAATGGTGCTTCCAACAAATGCTTGCATGCTGGAGGACAGACTGTACAATATTTTAAATTCATCATTAAAAGAACTGTAATGGAAGCAGCCACCACTTAACCTGTTTTTACTCCAGACAGACAATAAAGAATCTATCTATCTATCTATCTATCTATCTATCTATCTATCTATCTATGTTCGCCCACTCTGCTCGGCACACCTCAGGAACACCAGCTGCTATCTATCCCTTGTAAAAGAAACCTCTGCTGTCTGATTTCAAAGTCTGCATCGGTCAAGTCAGTCCAGAATTGGCCTTCATCTATTATTTTCCCTACTTTTACTGACTGGAGCACACATTTAAACAACACTGCATTTCCATACTTTGCCCACTTCTGGGGCTAGAGAAAGCACCGGTGCATCGCGTTCTCACCCTGGAGTTAGGATCGTAGTACAGTGTCGTCTCTGGATCGTAATAGAAGCCTGACGTGGCATCGTACAGGTAGTTGGTGATGTCTGGAGTGTCAGAGCCTGGAGGAAGCATGACAAATACATATATGATTAACATTAACTGGAAATAAAAAGAAGTGTTTATGATAGTTGTGTTATTCTTAATATTTAATAATCATTACTAATGCTAAATCAAAACAAACTTGAGTTGTTTCTCACCATAAACGTAGGCCTGTGATCCCTCTGTGGTGGCGCTCATCCCAGCTAAGTCTGTGGGCATGTGAGGCGCAACAGCCTGGTACGACGGATCCACTGGTGGAGCTTCAACATAGCCGACTCCCTGTACGGCGTTGAAGAGGTACAGTTAAACATGTGAATTTGAAGTAAGATGTTTAGATTTTTGCTTCCTGGTTTGCAGTCTACCTGGCTCACGCTGGGGTCTGATGACAGAGCAGGATTAGAGCTGCCAGCCATTAAATCACCTGGTGACAAAACAGTGAGACGACTTTGTGAGACCATTTTGCTTTGTAATAATGTAAACTGTATGGAGGGGGAACACAATACTATGAAGAGTCTGAAGAGTCACCTGGAATCCCAGGAGGAGGACCAGTAGGTGGCTGCAGAGGTGGCAGGAACGGTGGAGGCTGTGGGTACTGCTGCTGCTGCTGCTGCTGCTGCTGCTGCTGAAATAACAAACACAGAAGAGCACAGGTTGTCTCAAAGATCTGACCGTTCACGTCCTTTCAGTACAAAGCTAAGACCACAACTTACCCCCACCATGGCGGCCTCAGGGGGATACCCGAGGATAGACGTGTTTGGTTTATCAAAATCTCTTCTGAAGCTGAAACAAACCGAAAGAACAAATCAGTCAAGCGTTTTCGAGGGAACCAGGCCAGGAAGAAAACCTTTGCAACACGGTGGACTTACTTTTGGTTCTTAAGAGGTTTTGCAACCTCAGCATAAACTCTGACTCCATCGACGTACAGGGGTCTAGGTTTAGTGAGGAGCTCCACCAGACGGGTCACTTGCTACAGAAGGAGACAGAGTTGTGAGCTGGACGCTGGGCAAAACCACAACTCCTACATGAGCATGGGTTGACTGATATCTGTAGGTACCTCATGGGAGTCCATGTCAACGAAGCAGAAGCACTTTGCTCCAGGCGGCTTGGCCTTCACGAGACGAACATTCCTCTCATCTAGGTATGCAAACGGATCCAAGGCCTTCAGGATAGTCTCTACTGTGGTGGTAGGCTTCACATTTTTTATTATCATGGCTGTAAGAGTGACAAGAAATAATGTTTACTTGACTCAATTAGAATTATAACTGAACACACATATATGAATCGTAAACCAAACAGGCAGACTAAAGATAGAAAGGTCAACATACTTTTGCTGTCTCTAAACACAGAGTCAGGTTGTTGTGAGCTGTGAAGAGGAGGGTTGCGGTTGCTCCAGGACTCGGCCTGTTGCTCCATCTCTTGCTGCTGGAGCTGCTGGTCCACCTGCTGCTGCCAGGCCTCTGGAGTCAGGTCAGAGCTACGCTGCCACTGGCCGGGGGGCACCGGCTCCATGGGACCTTTTGGTTTAGAGCCATTCAGGTTTGTCTTCAACTCGTCTAAAGGTTGATCTGATCTGGGCAACTGGGGCTCCTGGAGTTGAGGTACTTTGTGATCTGATTCCTGATTCAAAAAGACAGAAATAAAGGCACATGTAACTAGAGTCTATTATCTGGGACGTGCTATGATTAGAGACAAACCTTTAGTTCTGCTTCCCCTTGTTTTACAAACACGTGACTTACTTTTAGCAAGAACATTTGTTGTGTTTGCTAGTAATGCAAACTCAACACCGTGTTTCGTGTTCACATCTACACACATTTTTGTCCCATTTGTTCAGGAAGAATGGCTAAGAATCGAAGTGAGCAACTGATATCTGTATTTATGAGAGAAACTCAGTGAAATAATATCCTACAGCTATGAAACTGAAACAACACTGAGGGAATTATAATCAAGTTACCACAACCTCTGTTATGAGACAGGTCAATTCGATTTACACAGTGTTTAAAATGTGAGCAAACCATTAATCAACTACAGTCATGACTTGATAATCCGACCCCGAACAATCCTAAACCTTGCTATCCGACAGGTTTTTAGGAAAAAACAAACAGAATCCATTAAAAACAGTCTTAACATACCGACAGCCTTGGAGTCCGACCCCGACATGACATTTAATGTCACCAATCAGGATAACGGCGTATTATCTGACTGAACAATCCCACAGATTGGCTACGTTCACACTGCAGGACTTAATGCTCAATTCAGTTTTTTTGTGAAATCCGATTTTTTTGTGAGTTCGTTCACATTTCCACTTAAATGCGACTTGTATGTGATCTGCTGTGTGAACTTCATACGACCCAAAAGTGTCCCGCATGTGCAGAAGAGGACACGACGACGTCACACGCAGTGAGCGCGCTCAGTGGATGGTAACGGTGGAGCGTATCTGCCACTCCCCCACTGCCACCGCCGATGGTGGAAACAGAAGTGTGAGCGCTAACTAAACTAGCATCAGCAGCCAAGTACTGCCTGTGTGGTCCGGCCACTTCCACCCCGGTCAGTTAGGTGTGAAATCCAGCGATGCGTAGTGTTCTAACAATATACTAGTTATTATAACAACTGTGAACAATAATTAACAACAAATGAGCCTTCAAGCATCAAGCCCTCCTTGTGTCTCGACCTCCGTCTTGACAATCCGACAGCCTTGCTATCCGACATAAAAGAAGGTTTTACGTTTAGTGTCGGATTATCGAGTCACGACTGTAGTTGTTTTGCTCCCTGGGCATAAAAAGAAATCATTTATGATTATTCCACTCACATGAACACCTCTTTCACACTCGTCTGGCTCGATATACTTCATGGAAGTTGTTCTAGTGCCAACCTTTAGGGACCCCTGAAAGAAAGACAGAAAATGTCAATCAGCATTATACTGTACTAGCAGCTGGTAGCTAAGATAATTCCAGTGACACCCAACATGCACTGTGGCAGGGTTAGCCCTCCTCTTTACTGCTGAGGATAACTGGGCCAACACTTATGGTAGTGTGCAAAGCCCGGGTCCATGACCGTCCTACACGTAGGCCACGTGCCCCTACACTAGTTTCAAGGGGACAACAAATTAAGGCTGGAACGTAGGATGTATTTCATATCAGTCTGCCATCTACTGTATCAGTAAAGAAAGTAGTTTGGTCCGTAACGATTCAGAAGATTGTGAAAAATCAGTTTTCTAAAGCCGAACACGAGACCCTCAAATAGCTTTTTTTTTTTTTTGTCCAACCAACACCCAAAGAAATGCAATTCTCTATCACACAAGAAAAAGACAGCAACTAGAGATTTTTTTTTTAAATGACAGACAATTCATCGATCATTAAACTAGTTGATTTTTTTTCTGTAAATCAATCAGCTGTATTACAAGGACTCTTCACCAGTGTAATGTTTCAAGGAGGAAAAAATAAAATCACTTCACACTCCCAAATTAGAACCACGTCCTCAGCGAATACAAACCAAACAGTGCCATCGTAGATACCATAGTTCCAGCACTGGACTGCGTATGCATAGAAAGAGTTGTTTCCAAGGAAAGGTCACGGTAAGTCTAAATGTATTCCACAAAAAGGCAGTGCCGAGGTTACGATGTGTGCATCGAATGTAGATTTACATCCACGCAGAATAACGGTATCAAAATCATAACGTGAGCACACAATTTGCTGTCTTAGTCCCAAACATAAAAATAAAAAAGAAATTTAAAAAAAACAGCCCAAACTAGAGTGACCTTTAACCTCTCATGACAAAGTGGGTAAAATCTTTGATGATGGCAAAATTACCGACCACACAACTAATGGCATCATCTAATTTTTACCCTGGCCTATCACAAGCTGCAGAACATAAAAAATAGTGAAAATAAAGTAGAACACAATCATCCAGGCTTTTAAAAGAAACAGCAGAAACAGGCGAGCCGCTACACATTTCAGCAAGAAACCAACTGATCCCATCTACCCAGAGACAAGGTGCTTGACCTAATTTTGTAAAAATATGATCAGAGCACAACAATCTGGCCAGCGCTGAAGATTGTGTTCAGTGAGTCAAGATGTAAACTTTGTTCACAAACTGCTCCGAGCAATCCGAAGAAGGCTGAAATGCCCAAAATCCACTGATGAGTTCAAGAGAATACCATCAAGAGAATAAGTCACAGATGACTGAAAGAGGAAGTTGCGAAATCATTTTTGTCACAGAAAGAATGCAGCAGAAACTTGAAGACAACAAGCGTCTACACGAAGCCATAATGCTCACTGTAAAGAAAACCAAACAAGCCAAAGAGCTGGACAAACTGAAATCTTGACCTGATGATGGCACTGATGACAGAAAGTCAAGTGAACCATAAAGTCCAGAAGGATGATGAGTATCTGCACCACACCTGTCATCTCATGGTGGTGCCAGAAGAAGTCGTGGAATCACTGAAGTCATGAGGAAGAATCTCGTGAACACAACGGACAACTGCACCAAATTTAAAGCCAACCAATAGTTGTTGAGACATTACACACACAAAAAAAAACTGAATATCAACCTCGCAGTATTCCAACAGGAAGTGTCAGAGGATCAAACAGAATCAGACGGTTTCATCCTCTGGGGAACATGAAAATTGCACCAACTTTCAATGCGATGCACCTAATAGTAGAGATTTGCAACTGGAGCAAGCAACCAGAGTCAACCACAACCCCAACAAAGCTGCTAGCGTAGCTAAAAGATCTCCAATGCAAGGTAGATGTATATAAACGCCTCTGGCAAAAAAGTGCACCTGCCTGAACTTTTACTTGAAAGCAATGCGACATGATCCAGCAACCCAGATTATTTTAAAGTACAGATACCATTAGCCTTTTGTTAACATCTCAAGCATCTCGACTGATGACAAACCGATTATTACCAATATCACATTCTAAAAAGTGAAACATATTCACAGGTTGTGCAAACCTACATTTTATGACTCGAAGGCGTCAAAGTGCCACAAGCACTGATGAAATTGTCATCGTTAACTCTTCATTAAAAACCTCTTTACTGTTTCGATAGTCCAATGGAAGGACTGATTTTCCCCTAAAAGTCTGCATTTTCTGGTTAAATACATTCCCGGGTTAAGTAGTTTGCAGCTGAAATCCTAAAAGCTAATATAGTCGGAAACCAGTTGATGTCTATCTGTGCACAGACACAGTTGAACGTTCATATTTTTACATTTCTCAGAAGTATTAAGACGGTAACCTGTGGTACTGTCGTGGCTTTGTGGATACGTACATGTAAGATAGGACCAACTGTTAACGGTTAAAAACATTTCCATCTAAGAATGTCAATATTCGACATCTTCATCTCCTCAACCAAGTTAAGCTCGCTAAAGATATTAGTGACTCCTTCCCAAGTTCAGCCCCTCCCCCATCTACTAAATGCCCTCTCAGCCCCTCGTAATCCTGATGGGAGAGACGGCCTTCGCAGAGTGACGAGGATGGGCCACCTTGTTGGACTCCATGAAGTGGACTGCATCCTCGAGGTTTAAAAACTCCACATAGGCCATATCGTAGCTGTAACCTGGGGACAGCATTTGAAATACAGATGGGTTTTTGTTAGTCAATGCCAGTCATGACAGTCACCCAGTGAAACATAAAAGAAAGCATTCGTGAATACATCAAGATCAGTGCGAGCGAGTATTTACACCCCTACTGACACACATACCTTTTCAGGAAAACATTTAGTTTTTTCTAGTCAGTCTTCTGTTGACTGACATCATAACAGACTTGAAAGCCTTGAACGGCTTTGATAAAGCCAAGCCTCAACAGACACATATTCCAGACCGTTGGCAGTGAACATTTGCGTGGTGAGCATCATGGAGACAGAAAAAAATTTGCAATTCATGCTTGTATCAAATTGAAAAAGGCACCCCCTTTCTGTGATGCTGTTTAAATAGATTAATGCAATATTCAGACATAATCTTCACAAAAAGGCTTGGCATCATGTAGGCGACATGTGCACAGCGATCCACTGAGGAAAACTCACTCTAAAGCAGATGCTTAGATCAGCAGGATGAACAAAGCACTAGCAAGGCGGTTCCCAGGGTTTTCAGGTTAGCTCACCTCCTTTCTCAAATCAGTGCTTAGAAAAAGTGTCCCTGAAGGACACGTTCAGAGAGTCACTTGTCACAGATCGCTTGTGACAGACACTGAGTATCACTCTCCAAAAGCTGCTAATGTTGAGTCCTACGTATCTCCTCTAATTGTTGGCAATGACCACACACCCTTAGACATGGAAAGGGATGGTAGAACAGAAACCCCCCTTCTTGCTTTACTGAGCGAGTTCGTACAGACCACCAACACCACAAGCAACCAAGAATGTAAGGAAAAAAAGAATGCGGAGGTTCGAATGTCGTAAAAGCGAAATGTCGAAGGGACACGTTAGCGAAACAACTGCCCCAAACACTCCCGCAAAGAAACTTGGTTCTTACCTGGCACAACATTTTTGATTTTCATCCCCTGCATTGGCACACCATCACGGACAGCGAAGGCACCGAGAATCTGAAAAGATCAAACCGAGTGAGAGTTGAGCCACATTTCAACGACTACGAACACAGTTTGCTAAGAATAAAAAACAAAAATAACGATGCTGTTCTGTTTGATTACCTGCTCCATCGTGGCAGTCTTTGGAATACCAGTTACGGATATAATATTGGACACTTTTTCTTCCACCGATGCGCTCCTGTAATCTTGATCCTTCCAGAAACACCGTGAAACATCAAAATAGGATTAAAAAAATACAAATATAACTTGCGAACAAACTGGTGACAAAAAAAGCCCCACATACCTGTGAACCAGAATCACTAAACTTTGAAGGTGTGATGGGTTTGGACTCTTTGAGGAGTTTCTCTGGTGCGTGAAGTTCTTCGTGTTTGTAGTCAAACACCCTTCCGGACCCTGTTCTATAATCGATGTCCCTGTAGTCTTGGTCTCGTGCCTGTACAGTGCTGTTGCTTTGGAAATCATGTTCTGCCCCCAGCTTACCCCTGCCAGGTCCTTGATTGTGTGGCATATCTTTCATTCCTTTAAAGCAATCGTTTGGCTGCTGAATCTCATGCGAGGGCTGATTCTTATCTTGATTGTAAGGGGGCCTTTCATCATGGTTTGACTTATTCTGAATATGCTTTGGGTCCCTTTCTCCAAGCCAGTGTTTACCCTCATTTTCTCTCCCAAGAGGGCCAGCTAGGGGACTCATTTCTGGGAGCGGATGGTCTTGTGAACCTTTGCTGCCCATTGGTGGAAGACCCATAGCAGGAAAGTGGTCAGCACGGTGGAAGCCAACATCTTTCCCTGGGAAGTCAACAGGAGGCTTATCCCTCTCCTGAAATGGTGGTGGATCCCTGACATTTGCATCTCGTCCAAAACCAACAGGAAAACTGGGTTCAGGTGCACCTCCCATACCTTTAGCCACATTGAAAAAAGGGGTCTTGTCCTTCCGACGGTTCTTCCATTCTTCTGCAAGTGTCATCTCTTCACCACTCCGATAATCCATAAGTGGACTGCCGCTTGAGTCTTGGTACTCTCTCTTCCCAACACAGTCTCCTGCACCCATGAACTCTGTCCTCTGAGGAATATCTGGAGGCATGTCTGGTCTTGCCCTGTCCACTGCAGGGACGTCACTGTTTCCAAATTTTAAAGGCGATCGATCTCTACCTCTAAATTCACCTGATGGTCCGGGGCGATTTCTGAAATCCATGTCGGAATCAAACCCGCCTCTTGGATTGAAAGGTGGCCCCCCTCTTCTGTCAGTGTCCATCGGTCTCCTTTCACGTGGGGGCAGGTCCATATCAAAGCGATTGGAGTCACCAATGCCCATCGGAGGTCTGTCATGCATGTCCCTAAATCCATCATTTCGCTCCATTCTGTCCATGGGAAACCCTCTTCTTCCATCAATATTGGGGTTGTTGAACCGTGGCATGTTGTAATTAAACGATTCTCTGTCTCCGGTGTCCATAAACCTGTTGTTTGGTTCTCGTGGTGGCATACCCCTTCCTCCCATGTCTACCGAGTTCCTGCCTGGCCCTGAGAAACCAGAAGCATTCATAAGTTTGTCTCGGATGGAAACTTCATATTGCCTTCGAAGGCTGAAGTCTGGCTCATCTCCAGGTCTGAAGAAATCTCTGTTTGGCTCCCTTCCTCGCATGTCACGTGGGTCCATATCACGCCCCCTCATCGGTGGCCCATCCATTCTCCTCATGTCCATGGGTGGTATATCTAGAGGTCTCGGGCCCATGTGACCCATGGGACCCATGTTCATCCCATCTCTGCCTCTGTAATCTGGCATGGGACGATCTCTGCCCCCAAACATTTCTCCACGATGATCACCACTGGAATAAAAATGATTGCATTAGGCTGCTGATTTGTTTAAAAAGCATATAACCAAAGAACAAAGCTTACAACTAAATAATACAAAGAGTAAAAAAATTAAAATTCAAAAAGTTTTCTTAATTGGCCATAAATGCACGCTGAGGTGAGCCATCAATTGCAGAAAAGTGAGAAATTGTTCATGCTAAACATGCACATAAATACAGGTATTCAGTAGTTTGAAGTAGGTAACACAATCCAATTAACAGAGAATCTAATAATGGACTAAATATATCAAAAAAGCACAGTTAAATTATGTGGTGGTGCCACACTCCCAACAATTTGCACTATAGGAGGTACTTTCACTGTGAATTAATTTGTCATGTATTTTTTGTAATTACCGATTAGTTGCTTGGCCTATAAAGTGCCAGAAATAGTAGATATTCAGTTTAAAGAAATGAGAAAATATTTACATTTAAGAAGCTGGAATTAGAAAATTTGATTCTTTTTCATTTAAAATTATTTGACACATTTAATCAGTAACCAAAATAGTTCATGACTTATTTAATAGTTGACAATTTTGACTGCTTTAAGGTGCAATTAGTGAAAAATGATATTTCTTTTTTACTGTTTAGCTGAAATTAGTCTTAAATATTCTTGAAAATTTTGTTGACTTTCTTCTATATTATATTTTTATTTTACCTTACCTTCATTTAATACCCTCCCCTAATATTCTGTGTTGTCTTTTTGATTTGTTTGCCCCCTTTGTTGAATAGTCATGCTGCTGTAACACCTGAATTTCCCTCCCTGGGTTTAATAAAGTCAGTCTAAATCAATGGGTGTGATCAAATGATGCTTGGTTACCGAAAGGGTGGTGGTCCGCCCCGTGGTCCCTGCCCTGGCCCTGGTCCATCCCACATGCTTGTAGGTCAGGTGCCTATCTGGAGACAACATTAAAGGTGAATGTGGATGAGAGCATCACATGGTACGTCCTTAACAATAAATCTGACAAGACACTGACTTCTGACAGCACAGCTCTAAATCCACACAGACGTGACGGTGTATATGTTCACATGGTGATGTGTTGTGTCGGTACAACAGTGAGGATTATTAAAAGATGGCTGCAAATATGGGACCAATAACAGTGGATGGGGTGACTGCTAATGGTGGCTCACAGAAGAGTGGCCTGCTAATTATAGCCCTCACTAGGCCTCCCAAATGTACGCCACAACACAAACAAACAGCGCCAGAGTTATAAATGACTCTACTACGCAGGAATTCAGCGTAACAGACCGAATTAAAACGCTAATTTTAGCCCATCTGAATGCGAGAGTCCATTGAGGCAAACCTGAGCCCGACGAATCAGAGACGAACCACAGGCTATCACAGCTAACTAACATTAAAAAAGACGGTTCATTAGCATTAGCCGGTAGCTAAGCGTCACCCTTCGCTGGCTTTCCATGTCACCGCTGTCGCTTGAATGTTTTTATTCATTAAAAACCAACCTTGGCTGTTTTTCGGGCTAAGTGTTGATATTGCGGAGGATTTTCGGCCAAATCGTAGATGGCTCCAACGAAGTGATGTAGAAAAATGGAGGCGAACCTTCTTCTTCTACGGTTCTGCGGCAGAGACGGAGCTTCTTCCTCGCTGTGTTAAAAGTATGTAGGGCGAATTTCTGCCACCTGGCGGTTGTTACACAGAACAACTAGCACATTCTGTTTAATGTCGGGCCCGTCAGACTGGAAACCATAAAACATATTGATTACACTGACCATAAAGATCACCTCATGACCCGTATTTCACTTTTAACAACTGTCTGTAGCCAAAGAAGTTAAAATCAATGACCACGTCTTTAATCACCATAAAACCTACATGTTTTTATTTTATTATTCCTGTTATGTCAAAGATCTGACTAACAAACAGATGGCATTTTATGAAGTAAGAATTTTGCATAGTTTAAATATTAAATTGTCGTTTCACTATAAGTGGAGAAATGCTTTGCCTTCATTTATTAAAATGGTGTAAAACTTATTACTATCCCTTTTCCTTTTACTGTTGCCCAGGCATATACAAACCAACGTAAGCTTGACCGTGACGTTAGGACACTCCTCCAAACAAACTGCTCACCGGATCAGCATGGTGGGTGTCAGTCAAGCTTTAAAGGTATTGTCACACTGTTACACCACGATAAATTACACTTTAGTCACTGTAAATTTTCTATTTGGCCTTAGATTGGATTATACAAGTCCCCTGCTCATACTGAACCTCAAAGCCACAGCAAAGATAAAGAGCTGTTTCATTTTATCAAGTGGAAAATATGCGTGTCTCTGCATGTGGTGCAAGCATTGTTCATTACTGCATTAATTAAGAATAATTGCAGACAATTTTGGAGATAATACATGTCAATTTTGTTCTAATATGAACCTTTAAAGGCCGAATATCTAATTTGTGTTAACAGACAAAAACCTAACAGTTTAAATAACGACAAAAGATCCATCCATCCATCCATTATCTATACACCGCTTAATCCTCACTCAGGTCACGGGGGGCTGGAGTCTATCCCAGCTGACTCAGGGTGAAGGCAGGTTCACCTGGACAGGTAACCAGTCTATCACAGGGCTACACTTAGAGACAGACAACCAAGCACACTCACATTCACACCTACAGATCATTTAGGATCACCAATTAACCTCAACATGTTTCTGGACTGTGGGAGGAAGCCAGAGAACCCGGAGAGAACCCACGCTGCACGGGGAGAACATGCAAACTCCATGCAGAAAGATCCCAGGTGTCCTCGTGAACCGCGACCTTCTAGCTGCGAGGCAATGATGCTAACCACCGAGCCACCTTGCAGCCCAAAAAACTGCTTGTATTTAAGTAAAATTGTGATTTGCACAAGGATCAGTCATGAAAACAGTCAAAGAGGGACAACTTCAGAAAAGTGTCACAGTTTCAGCAACAGTATTGCTCCTTTTATTTAGTCACAAGCATCGTAGCAACCCGTTAGCTCAGCTAAATGTTGCTAAATACACACATAAATAAAAAAATACACATGTATACACATACAATGCAAATATACATGGTCGTACAGTCGATATGGACTCTGCTATAAACTCTGGATTTACTAATTACAAGTTACAACACAACAACAGCTAGAACATCACTCCACATAGAATGTCTAAATCTAGTTTCCTGTGTTTTTAAATGAAGTGTGAAAGAGGACAAAACACAAATATCAATACAGCAGCTTACGACTCTAAACAGAAGAGCAAATTAAACGGCTAAAACCATTTCAATGAAATAAGTAAGCATTTATAATCAAGTTGTTCCTCTTGAAACATTTTAGTACATGAATGCAACAAATATTAAGGCACTTAAACTTAAAAATATGCTTTTCTTGCTGCCTTAAAATTCTAAGTTGTCTAAAGTTGCACTGCACTAAACCAGTAGATATCTAGTCACGGTGTCAAATTGATCCCTCTGTACCTGTTGTACAGTCTGTCATTAGAAAAACATTTTATGGACAGTCATCAAAGTGTCACACGTATTATATTGTACAATTTTGAAATCTTCAACATGGCTAAAAAATTTTCATTTTGGCTTTTTTTAAATCAAATATTCATACATGATTCATTCAGGATATGTACATGACAAGTTCTGTCACTTTGTGTCACTGTTTTCTGTTTTGGAGTTATTACAGCGTTAATTCTGGAACGCTTTCGTATAAATTTGTGTTTATTTATGTTTTAAATAACTTTAACATGACCAAATTACCAAATCTTTCAACTCATAATTTTAAGTCACAAGACTTGAACTAAGGATTGTAAGATCTGAAGCTAAAAAGTAGCAATTTGTTGAAACAGACAAACACACCTATATACAATGAGCTGATGAGTAAAGATGAGCTGATTTCACTAAATTACACTATGAGTTTTTACAGTCTCGAAGGAAAAGGAAAAACAACAGAAGAGCTACTTTGCAACAAGCTTTAAAGGGACTTGTGTACAAAATAACAAGAACAGGGGAGAGTGGAGAACACTATTCAATAGACCAATCAGTACAGGAGGCAGGAACGTGAAATGCATGGAGTTGTGGAATAATTCTGCAAACTGGGGGATAGTCGGACAGCATAGACACGATATCATGATTCCAAATTTACTGGCTGTACTGCGCATGTGCTTGTAGGTTGGTTTTCTTGCATTCGATCGATGCCTAGTCTCCTTTTCTCGGCGGCAGCACCTGGGGAACGTCGCCGTTGCACCGTGACTGCTGGTGCTCCTCCTGTCTGGCTGCATTGGGCAGGGAGAGCGCAGACATGCTAGCAGTCTGTGTGTCAGGAGCCTTTTCACTAAGACCGGCTTTTATGGCGGCAGCGAGAAGGCCGCCGCCGCCGCCGCCGCCACCTGCTGGAGCAGCAGGAGTGACGCCGGGCGTGTTGGGGTCAGCTGCAGCCCCCGGTGCGAGACCAGAGGCCGCAGAATCCCCCTGCTCGGACGCTCGAAGTCTCTTCATGAGGGTGGTCACTCTGACGGCTTTCTGTTAATCACAAAAAACAAATTTTTTGTTCACATGAAGTGACGTGGAGTGACAATGAAGTCATGAATTAGTTCTTACACTGAAATGTATTAAAAAGAGAATGAAACTGTACTTGATTCTAGTTGTTGCATGTAGAGAAAACCTCAGGCACGATCAGAACAATATCATTTTGTGTATTATGTGTCATAAATGTTGGTATATGTGCATGAGAAGTACTACCTTCCACTTGGCTTTGGCAAAGTTCTTTTCAATTTGTGCACAAACACCATCCTTGATGTTCTTGTCTGAGGCAGCATTTCCAGAAATCCTTAAAAAAAGGAACAAAAGAACTTTTTTCTGCAGCACATTATTATATTTTTGCCACCTTTTTGCCAGTTTTAACAAGGCCGGTCGGATGATTTCTGTTTGATTTATTTTACGAACTTTCTTTTTTCTCTCTCTTACCATTCATGGGCTATGGCTTCCTGAGCTGTCAATCGCTGATCTTGGTCCACTTCCATCAAAGATGCCACTAAGTTTTTGGCTGGAAACCACGAGAACAGGTCAGTAACAGCAATTTGTTTGCTTCTCGATTTTTTTTTAGACCTTATGTTGTGATATGCTTATGACAGACATGCACTTAAATAACGTGATTATCTCTCACCAGAATCTGAAATATCGTCCCAGTATGGGGAATCGAATTCGTAGTCCCCTGACAAAATCTTGAGAAACAGGTTCTTATCACGATTATCACAGTCGTCTTCATCGGCATCATCATAGAAGGGAGGGTTTCCAGACAAACTGTGAGAAAAGACAACACTTCTTTTAGGTGAAACACTTGAGTGTACTTCTGATGACATCATTTTGAGAGCATTACTGGCCACTCACAGTATATACATGATGACGCCGATGGCCCAACAGTCCACAGGTCGTCCATATCTCTGCCTCCCCACCACCTCAGGAGCTGCACATAAAAATGGGATTGAAGCATCGTGATGATGCGACAATGATCAACGTTTGTTTGCAAAACTAATTTAACTGATCTACGTCACTCACCGAGATATTCTGGAGTCCCACACGGGTCCCTAATGAGTCCATTTTCCAGTTTTGCCAACTGGAAGTCACTGATAACAATTTTGGAGTGCTTCAAACGATTAAAGTACACCAAGTTCTCCAGCTGCATGAGAAACAACAAAAGGTTTATCAAACTAGAAAGATCTTATCTTAATGCAGCATTGCATGTTTGTAAAGGTCATCACAAGGTTGTTCGTTTATGCAGCGTTGTGTCTGGCCTGTGGTGAAGTGCTGCTGCTTCTCACTAGGTGTCAGCAGTGAAATGCACCTTGAGGTTTCTGTGGACGATTTTCAGAGAGTGCAGGTAAGCCACAGCTTCCAACACCTGCCGCATAACGTTGCTGGTGTCCCTCTCCGAGTAGTAGCCTTGATCTAAGATCCAGTCGAAGACCTCTCTGCCTGTAGCTCTGACAAGACGGGGCGTCCAAAGTTAACACAGATTAGTTTCGAATGACAGAAGTTGAATTTGACATTATCTTTATCACAGTTGCAGAAGTAAAGTGCACGACAGTGTGCGCAAAAAATCTCTTTCAAATGCATCAGCTGTACTTACAGCTCCAGGAAAAGGAAATACTCCTTCTTGGTTTCAAAAGTGTCAACCAGCTGAAGGATGTTGTGATGTTTTATCCTTTGGAAAGCAGGAAAAATGTGAGAGTATTACGAGAGGGGAGGACGGAGGGATGTCAGTGAGGTTAAAAAACCTCTCTCATATGTTCTTGTAAACTTTGTTGACTTTCTTCTATATTCTATTTTCTATATTTTTTATCTTATTTTATTGTATTTTACCTACCCAGTCATGCTGCTGTAATGCCTGAATTTCCCTCTAGGATTAATAAAGTCAGTCTAAATCTAAAATAGAGTAAAGTAGTAGAACAAGGCAGCAACATAACTTCCACATCAGGTATTCATAACTTATAAATGCACCAAAGGTTTTTTTCACGTCTGTCTAAACCTCCCAGTGTGGCGTCTCCATACACGTCCAGGCTGAAGCTGTAAAACACCGGCTGGTTTGGCTCAAGCTTCACACAACTAGCTACAGATCACTATCATAATATTCAGGCTTCAGGCTTATGGCCTTCATCAATAATACATTCATTCTCGATATTATTGATTTCGAGCTGTTGGCCTTCATTATGACTAACTCTTGGGTTGGGGTTAGGTTGCAAATATGACTAAACTGCTGCTGCAAAGAAAAAAGCTTTCAAGACATGACAATACTTTATTCTCTTTTACAAAACAAAGGCTAGTTATAGCCTATATTTATGTGATTTTCAACAAATCCAATGAAAAAAAACAAAACCAAATGAATGGGCGTTAATTATGTGTTATCTGAACTAAACTCTATTTGCTCCTGGTGCTGATATCTAAAAACACAGGTAACAAACCGCTTTAATAAAAAAAAAAGAAGTATATTTATAGGAAACCACTGCATAAACTAAAACAAACTAGGTCTTTTGTTTAAGTCATGAGATGCAGTGGTGGATCTTTGTGTTTAGCAGTTTGTGTGGACGTCACAAAGGTAGAAGCTATATAAAATGTGGCTGCACAATCATTACTTCATTGGTCTTTATTGCAGATTGATTAATAGTAAGTAAATCTAGAATATCACCAGACTGAAAGAAACAAATCCTGTCTCAGTGCACCAGATATAAGTAGGGTTTAGGTCTTTGTATAAAGTCTGTATGAGAGTCCTAGAACCTGATTACAATATACGAAACTTCAGAATGTTTGTCTTTTGTGCCACACTTAGCCTTTGGTTCCTCCCAAAGACAGTATTCTACTGAACACTTGGGATTACGCTTTATCTCAATGCCAGGACAGGGCCTCAGGCAAGTCACTGCTATACCGTGGAGTCCAACACTTACATCTTTAAGATCATTATCTCATTCTTGGCAGCTTTCCTCACTTTCCTTCCGTCCTTTTTGTGGAACTTTTTACACGTGTACATTTTCAAGGTGTTCCTATCCTTCGCCCGGAATATCTCGCAAAACTCCTCTCTGTGGAAAAAAAAAAAAAAAAAGGCAAACATGTCATATTTCCAGTCAGATCATTTAAAGACGTAGGTGTTAGCATTCATCAGAACGTAGGTGTACTTACGACTTAACAATTTGTCCAAGGTCATATTTGTCGGTCACCTCTGAGGGACTGTTGTAATCCTTCTTCTCCCCGAGTGTTAGACAACCAAATGGCATGGCAGCTCGTGCCCTAGCCAGGGAAAGTCCTGCCACAACACAACCTGCCAACAAAGTGCGACACGGGAGGAGTAAAGCTTCGGTTTGACAGCCTGCTCGGTGCAAGGTCAGAATGTGAAAATCTCATCTGCAGCTGTAGCCTCATTACTAAACATCGTAAAAGAAAATATTATTGCAAATGTATTGTAAGAAATAAAAAAAAAACTGCACCACAAATTGCTTCAGAGAGAAATAAAACGGTGTCATTAATGATACTAATAGAATGTAAGGAATTGTTGCTCGGCGATGCACTTAACACAAAATGAATGCAGTAAATCAGTGTACACATTTACAGAGAGCAGACCGGATGCACGATTATTTCTTTCTCTGAAGCCTTCCTGGTCATACATCTGAGAGCTGGTAAATGTAATTGAGCTTGTGGGAGCCAATTATTTCAAATTACCACAAGAGCAGCACAACATAAAATTGAAAATTTCAATAACATAATCTTCCTCAGTGAACTCTGTGGGGCCGCTAAGCTTGTTTCCTTCCCATCTGCAGTGAGTCAGCCGTGTGCCGCAGCAGCAGCAGCAGCAGCAGCAGCAGAAACATTCACGTGTGCGCTTCTAAAGCAAAACACATTTGGATGGTCTTGACCCGAACGCCACAGCCGTACCTCTCGTCTTCCTTTTTATATTTTGATAGACCCTTGAAAGTTAACAAAAGCTGTTAGCTTGCTCGCTCTGCAGGAACAAGTGTGAAAGAGTTTTGTGTTTTAATGGACAGAGTCGTACGTTAGGATGACATGCACGTGTACTTCAGAGCAGTCCTCAGTGTTCACGCGCACTCAGGCGCATCTTCACCGTCAACTAATGGGTAAACTAAACAGGAGAAGGGAATCTTCAAAGTGCAACGTGTGGATTAAAACGGACCATGTTGAGGGGTAGAACATGATCACATAACTGATGTTATGATTAAGTTGAAGCTTGTACTGCTTGTTTCGTAACCTGGAGTCAAGTGTCGGACAAGTTGGGGTGGCTTACGTGGATGAAATCCTCTGTTAAGGTGTGTAGCTGTCTATCATAATGGATTATGATGCTGTAAAATGTGCGAATTTTAAGTTTTAATAACAGAAATACAAATCTTGTTTAGACAAACATCCACAAAAATGAAATATCATCACCAAATTGTGTGAATCAAAATACTGCCCAGTTTCAACTGATTGTGAAATGCAGTTATCCATCCATCCATTATCTATACACCGCTTAATCCTCACTAGGGTCGCGGGGGGGCTGGAGCCTATCCCAGCCGACTTAGGGCGAAGGCAGGGAAATGCAGTTATGTTAGGTTTAATATAGTCTGACTCAGGTGTAAGACATTTGTCGTGCCCTTCAGGCAACAACCACAAACACCCTCCGGATGAGGAACCTAAGTTTCGCTGCCCTGCTTGTTTTCTTTGTTGGCCTCCCTGCATGCAAATAATCCATCAAAACAATTCACCTTGTCAATAATTTCAGGAAACATCCCCTGTTGCATCCTTTTCTAATTTGACTGTGATTGCTTTAAAGAAGTATAAGTAAGCCCAAACATCCTTTTTCCCCTGTAACAGAATGATAACGAGGTGTCAGTGTAATGCATGGCTGTTCTCGTTAATTAGTCATTTGGTAATAACATGATTATTAACACCAGTTTACCAAAACATCTTCTACTTCGACCCATCGGCACCGAGCATATGCAAAAAAAAAAAACCTAACAAATGTAAAATTATTTCTCATTTGTATCTGATGGCCTTGTTTTCTTTCACTGTACCTGCATTGGGGAAAGTCATGAAAAATACAACACCGCAACGGCACTGTTCTGCCTATTGATTGATTTCCCTCAACAGACCGCTAGATACTCTGTAAGCATGAGCCAGAGATTGTTAAGGGGCTGGATAATAACACAGCACAGGCCGATGGCAGAGAGATTCACATCACCTCTCAGTATAATCCTAAACATGACCAGAGCAGCTCGACCAAAGTTAAAAACCAACCGACTACAGGATAAATCGCCGCACGCAGCACAGCATTTCTAACTGCAGACAGCAAAAAGCCTAATAAACGAGATTCACCCACATGAAGTCCTTTAGCACATTTCTATGCCAGTTTCACAGCCTGGCTACGTAACCCTGCTGGGTTTTTTCTCCTACCATGGAAATTGGAGAACTGTCGCGGACATAGGGTGATCTAACACTGGACGCTTTGCTGCAGCATGTTTTTCAGACCAACAAGCATCTCAGTGTTGTTGTAAATTACATATCTGCTTTGCCTAGAGACTTCCTGTCTTGTACGTTCAGTAAAAGCATTTGTGCTTTGACCCCATGGTTGCAGCTAACTGCGGTGTAGATTTTAAGTAATAATAATATCACACTTCAAACTTGTGTGACTGGAGTTGCACAGAAGAATACAATTCAGTTCCACAACTGGCAGCGAAACATTCCTGGTGACATAGCATGCTTATATAGAAGAAAAAAAAAAGCCTCCTTTGTTTTTTTGGCAGGCCTTACGGTGGAGATGGCAGCCAGTGCAGAAGAGTGGGAGTACAGAGATTCTGACTGAGGTGTTGTCTGTAGCCTCAGTCAAAACCAGAGGCAGAGATTTCTCCCAGCATCTCCAGCATCCAGTAATGTGTGTACTACAAGAAAGTGTGATGGTACAAAGTAAAAATGGAATCTGAAAAGAAGCACATGTTAAGATGATGGTCTATCAGCGTACTTTATTACTGTTTATTGCTTAAGGGTGGACCATAAATCCAAGGCCTTGAGCTGAAGACAGTGGGCTGAGTATAAGTGCGCTACCGTCCACAAGGGGACTCATTACTCTGTAATCCCGTCTCCACAAATCTCTGTTGTAGAGATAATACAGAGGGTACTGTAAGTGAATTGCTTAAGCGAGTGTGTTTCTACTGATGCCGACTGAATGTACACCAACTGCTTTTGATCCAGAGAGAAGAAAGCAGTCGTTTCTTATCCATTTTCATACACTGACAGGACACAGCTCGTGTTGACCTTCTGTTAACGTGAAATAGATCCACATGTCAGTGTCAGGTGGCGCCATTCACTTCATCTTTTATATACGTGTTTCGTCCATATCCACTGTAAAGGGCTTTGGACTCGGATGTGGCTTTGGGCTTCGTGCAACACTCTTTGTCTCTGCAACAGCAACTTAGAGCAATGTTCTCTCACAGCTCCTCATGTGCAATAACATCTTTTCTCTTGACAACTTTTTGAGTGCAAGAACATGAATGTAGAGCTACGGTTCTGGATGAATGTAGGTAAAGTTCTAGGCACCGAACGTGTCCTTCAGCTGGGTATCCATTATGCCACCCCAGCACATATCCATGTGTGAGAAGTGCACATGGTCTTCAATATATCTTCATTTTTTAGCCTTGATGTACTTTAGTATTTCTTGTCCTGTTTCTTTTATGACTCCCTCCTGCTGGTGAGGGATCAATAAAGTTGATCTTATCTTGAACTTTTGTGTTTAAACATGCCTTATGAATAAATATATTATTAATTATTATCATTATTATTATTATAAATGCAACACCCCTGATTTGATTCCAGCCCCCGGCCTGTGCTGAATGATTTAGACCTGTCACATAAAAGCAAGAATCAGCCTAACCCTGCAAGTTACCAGCATTTCTAAGTCACTTTTACTTTATGTATTTAAAAAGTAAATCACCTACCATTCCTGCAACAAGCCGCATGTAATTTAATCATGATGAAGTGCCGTTGGAGGTCAGCTAGAAGTAGCCAAAGGGATCAAGTCTCTTCTATTCAGCCATTACTTTTATTCTCTAAGTCCGTTCTGGACAATGACTTAACTCAAGGTTGTTGTTTTTATCTTCCAGAGGTATGCACAAATAAAGAAGAAGCTTCCCCGGGGTGAGTGAAACAAGACGGAGAGTTCTGTAAACTACTAAAACACAGAGCCCCTCTCTTTCTGCACAGCTCGAGCACAAATAATTCCACGTTTCAGTTCACCGTTTGCCTGTTCAAAAGATGTGCCTCGTCTCTGTCCTAAAGGGGAGAGCTGTCAGTTCGCCATTAGTCAGGAGCACAGTGAGCGTTCGGGAGATGCGCTGCAGCTGAATAACCTCGTCTGCATGAATCCTGCAACAACTACACCCAGACTGTCCATTAGCGTTGTCTGGCTCGCACCTAGATTCATACAACTGTGCTGTCTGGGTGTTATTTATTTTCATAATACGTTCCTCACTCGGGTGCTGTGATATTCAGAGCAACAGAAGCAAAATGTACGTAAGGACATAAACGCACCACACGTGGATTCAATCAGCAGGCATAATTATCATCCTCACATTTGAACAAAAGCTAAGCTGACGTCCGACCGGCGTCTTCAGCAAACAGCATTCCCTCTCGTGCGGCGATGGGCCTCTTTGGTAACATTTGAGTGGCCTCTGTTTCTCAAAATAGCCACACCACCAGCAGCTACCTCAGGAGGGCAAACAATACCATGAATGCCAAACAGAATATGAGGTAAGGCTGATGTGAGGCCATTTGTTGCAATCACCAGACCTCCCAGTGAATCACAGATCCCTACACCTGTTCCCAGAAGCTTGACTCACAGCACGGCGGCGCACCAAACACTCAACAGTAAGTATGATAAGTCAGACAGAATTTTGCGCACACTTGTTTCCCCCTCCTTCGTTTTCCCCCCTCGTTCAAAGCAATCTTCAAGATAAAAGGCTGTTCTCCTTCACCACAAGAAGAAGAAGAAGAAAAAAAAGATAGGAGGCATCTGACTATTGCTGAATCAGAGGTCTTTTATCTTTGCCTTTTGAAAGATCTGAATGAAGTGCTCTTCATTAATGGAAATGTAAATGCTGTTTCAAATTAAGACTGTCGCAGAGCTCAGCATTAAGAAGTCTTAACAGTGGACACCCTTGGGGGACAATGACAAAGGCGGAGCTGTTTGATTTGATAAGATGATTTCCATGTCCAGCTAATTTTTCAGTTGTATAAAGCGGATTAAAAAAAAAAAACTCTTCGGTGTAGATTATTGACGACAAGTCTAAGAGTCATATTGCATAGGCACCTTGTCTGAACAGATCACGACAGGGCGAGGGAGAAGGGTATCTGGGGCAAACAGAGAGCAGGGTTCAAGTGTTTTCAAGGCCCTTCAGGAGGCGTTAGAGATATTTCAAAAAGAAAAAAGAAAAAGCAAATACACCTGCATAATGCTAATACATTAGGGACATTGTCATCTCATCCTCCTGTCTTTTTATCAGGGATGGAAAATGAATCACATGGATCACAGGATACTGAATAACTACAACAAACTAAGACGTCTATCCACCTGTATTATGTAGTTATGTGACAGTCAGACACCCATCAGTGGCATCATTTTTTAGGACACCAGCTAAAGATGGGAGATGTGTCTTTACACTGCGTCCCAGCAGTTGCAGAGATGCTGACTAACCATGTGGACTGTTATAATTCTGAACTCAAACCGGTTTAACTCTAACACCTCTCTGGGTTAAGCTCCGAGGGGTGATGCATCTCGACATGTTCTACACATGTTCTACGAAATGTGGAAAATCTGCAGCGTGGGATTATGCTCTGAGTCACACAACTGATAGTAATTGGTTTGGAATGCAAATATTGGACATCTTTAAGGGGTCCAATTAACCTGGGAAATGACACTGAATGGCCTAATGAGTGTGTACGTCATTACATTACATGGCCAAAGGAAGAACACTATAAATACATGTTAATATATTGTTTTTTAAATGCCCCAGATGTTCCTACTTTCAACTTTGCTAAAGGATGTTTGGTTCTGGCCTTTATTAACATGCTGACAGCATAAAAGGAATAAATCTCACACTGAAAACCCCTGAATGCAGCGCTGGGTGACACAATACTACTGCAGGATTTGACTAATGTTTTAAACAGTTATGTTTAACATACACTGGCACTTTAAAAAAAAAAAAACAATAGTAAATATATGATGTGTCACTAAGTGTGTTTACTGACCTTTATTCTTAATTCAGTAGCAAATGATGGATTGTTTTCTGACTTCTAAACACCATAATTGACATAAACCTGCTGAGTCACGCTGATCAACTGAGATGAAAACCGGATGACGTGTACTGATTTTCCCCAAAGCAGAAGCTCATTTTTATGGATTTGTTTACTGTTGCCTTCGCTAATTGTCTGTTAAGGGTCCTACTAGCCCACTTTGTGAGTTCCCAGTGTGAAATCTGTAAGCACGAGCGCGCGCGCGCGTGTGTGTGTGTGTGTGTAGGAGGATATTTATGAAGTAACAAAAGAAATTTCTCCGGCGTCTTCTGAATTCATTTGGGGGCACACAGTCTGTCTCAGTTTACGTTTTCTGTTAGAAGATATGGACTAAAGAGTCGAGTTTTTATATTTGTGTCATTCGGGTTTGTGTGTGACATTTTAGAAACATGACTACACACAGGTGGCCTTTTTTTTTTTCTTTAAATAAATATTTTTATGTTGCTATTTTGGAATTGGATTGTTGGTCAAAGCCATGTGAGACGGTGGCAGCAGGCCAGAGCTGTGGATTTGGCCACAGCTGAGCCTCTTCAAAGGGAAACTGCTCGGTGACAGGGGGCAGATGGTAGTGATGATGTTCAGGCCAATTTTTATAAGCTTGTATTGCTTCATTTATGATTTAAATGTCCCTCGTGCAAAGAACACATATAGATTCCTCTTTTTCAAGGACATTATATCAGAAACGAACAGGCGCGAAGCGGCGCGTTTGTTCGTCACCGACTGAGTCCACAGAGGTGGTGGAAATGTTGATGAGCATGAATCAATTCTCTTTTGTGCTCCTTTCTGCGATGCACTGAGTCTACCATTCATCTCTTCTCTCAAGCATCACTGGCTCATCTGACCAGTTTCTTCTGATGTTGTTTTGTTGCCATGGTTTCCAAGTGCTACAGTATGCACCGTGCTGCTGTCTGTGCAGAACAGCTCTCTGCGTACTCATTGCCATCACCGCCCAAGACCACTGCCACTTCATGTGACTCCATCTACTGTTTACATGTTTACAGAACCAAACCTTCAAGGCAACCGTGTTCATATAATCCATCATGTGAATGCCTGTTTTGTCACATTAGTCTGACATGATAACACACAGTGTGTCCCAGTTACCTGACAGCTACTTTAACTTAATGCACCGTGACACAGGTAGATAACACATCCAGCTCAGTGTAAAGCCTGTTACATAAACAAAAGGCCTCAACTCTGTTCATCCTGTTCAGTGATCAATCTTTCACTGTTTCTGGCTCAGGAGAAAAGAAAAAGACATATTTACATGATGTGTGGTGCAGATTGTACTTCAATAGGAGGAGTTATATTAAGTAAATAAGTCATACATCTTTATAATTGTAAATGTGTGTAAACCCTCCACAACAGCCTTCCTCACTGCATCACAAGCCTGTTGTTCTCTGCATCAAACCAACTGTCTGCACAGCAGGGCTTCCCAAACTTTTGTGCACCATTTTCAAACCCGATGTAATGCTTCACGACTGATCCGAGCGCACGTCTCCAAAAATGATGAAATAAGACGCACACACCAGTGAAACCCTCAGACGAGCCTCTGGAGGTGAACACACCTTCGGCGGCTCTCTGTTCTGCAGAAGACAGCCACTGTCACTATACTCGCCCTCCTTCTGCTCAAGTGTTACGACACGTCAAAGCCCTCGTCCTCCTTCTGGAGTGTATGAAGTGGCGGCTTCGGCGTCGCCAAAAGTAAGTGGGGATCGCGATCTCTCAGAAGCTCGCTGGGTGCGAAACGATGACAAATAATGACAAGGAAGCAGGGACACCGCGAGACTGTGAGACTGTTCCAATGTGAAGTGAAGAAGTGCTGCAGTCTGAGTGCATGGAGATGAACATGCCTTATGTAAATCCGCAGCTTGAGCACATCTCTGTGAACTGTAGGTGTGGGGTTCATGTGGTGAATTAACTTGCCTACAATCAGGAGAATCCGCAAAGTTGGTTTTTAACAGCAAAGGCACCGATTGCAGCCAGTCCTGGACACGTACGATCACGGTTCTGACAGGTACAATATTTGCGCATCACTGAGATGTGTCTGCTGTTGAATCCTGCAGGTTTCCTAAATCACCTGTCTGATGTTACCCAAAAAATGTTGAAATGCCATAAAAGTTTTCAACAGCCCCTCCGCTTTTTATTTATTTATTATAATATGAGAAAACCTGGAAATAAACCGCGGAGAACATTCCTCAACATTCCTCACTTCTCGCCTTTTGGACATCAGAGGTGTTTTGCGCTCACTTACCTTCAGTGAAGCACGCCGGGAATAATCCAAGCCCTTGGTGTGGTATCAGTAATGTGTTCCCGATGCGTCTTCACTTTTCTTTGGATGCTTCCACTGGTGTTGCGGGCAGCGTGCTCTCACAGAGATCCTCCAGCATTTCCAACAAGTCAGCTTATTCACGGGAGTATTACGTGAACGTGCAGGCAGTGATGCAGGAAGGAGGGGAGGTGCGTGTGCGCGCGTGTGTCGACGCACGGTGCACCACGATGTTCGACTGCGCGCATCATCGCATCAAGTGTTTTCACAACATTATAATCATTATTTTTTTTTAAGTGAATGGAGCTGGAGATGTTTACTGCGCAACCTCTGGCAAACAGGAGGAATAAACAGGAACATATTAAGTCCCTCTTAAAGTTACTTCCAATCTTTCTGGGTTTAAATA